TGATTCATTATATGAGGCCCTGATGCTAAAGCTAGACAAAGACACTGCAAGAAAAGAAAATGACAGACCAACATCCCTTATGAACCTCAATGCAAAAAATCATCAGGAAAATACTAGCAAACTGAATTTAGCACCATATTAGAACAAATATTAGAATACACCATAACCAAGTAGAATTTACTTATGGAATGCAAGGATGGCTCAAATATGAAAACTGATCAATGTAATGCACTGCATTAACAGAATAAGGAACGCCCCCCCACGTAATCATCTCAATTGATGCAGAAAAAGCAGTTCACAAAATTCTACATACATTTCACAAAATTCATGATAAAAACACTCAACAAACTAAGAAGAAAAGGAAACTATGTCAACACAATAAAAGTCATACATAAAAAAACCCCACAGTGCATATCACACTCAGCAGTGAAAGACTGAAAGCTCTTCCTCTAAGATCAAGAACAAGGCCAATTTCACCAGTTCTATCCAACATAGTACTGGAAGTTCCAGCCAGAAATTAGGCAAGAAAAAAAAAAAAAAACCTCTAAACTGGAAGAGAAAAAGTAAAATTATCTCTGCTCACTTATTATATTATCTTATGTATAGAAACTCTAAAGATTTCACACACCAAAAAAATGTTAGAACTAATAAATGAATTCAGCAAAAGTAGTAGCTGGATACAAAGTTAGCTACAAAAATCATTTGCATTTCTATTTACTGACAATGAACAATCTGAAAAGGAAATCAAGAAAAGAATTACATTTTCAATAGCATTGAAAGGAATAAAATACTTAGCAATTAATGTAACCAAAGAGATGAGAAACTAGTACAATAAAAACTACAAAACATTACTGAAAGAAATTAAAGAAGACATAAACAAATGAAAAGACATTCCATTCTCATGTATTGGAAGACTTAACATTGTTAAGATATTAATATTACCCAAAGCAATCTATTGATTCAATGCCATCTCTATCAAAACTAACAGAATGGGAGAAATATTTGCAAATCATATATGTGCTAAGGAACTGTATTAGTCTCTCTGTTGCTTATAACAAAATACTCAGAACTGGGTGATTTATAAGAAAACAAAATTTGTTGCTTACAGTTTCAGAGGCTAGGAAGTCTAAAGTCCAAGGAACACAGCTGGTGAAGGTCTTGATGGTGGTGACAGTGATGGCACAGTGTCATATGTGAAAATGGCAGAGCAGAGAGAGTAGAGAGAAAAAAAATAGACTCTACTCTTTTAAAGCCCTCAGAACCATGCCCCAACCACCATTTTTAATCCATTCACTACTGCACAGTTTTATAATCCAATCCCCTCTTCAAGGCTCCACCTTTCAATTATCATAATAGGATTTCCCCTCCTCTTAACAGTCACAGCGAAGGCTACATTTTCAATACATGAAACTTGGGGGACACAATTCTACCTTCAATGAATTTTGGGGAGACATAATAAAAAAAAAAATTGAAAAAAACCCTTGATTTTTTTTCTAGTTTACTATCATCTGATTTATCTCTTGCCATGACATCTCGCTCACTTTCTCTGAAAGAAATCATCTCCCCCTACTAACTCCTGCCAATCTTTCATTCTCATTTTTGCCCTGTGCAATCTGGCTTCTGCCTGGGACCAACCCACTAAAAGTGCTCTTGTTGATACCACTGAGGACGTCTTATATGCTAAATCCCGTAGATGCTTTTCAGTTTCTGTCTAAATTTTTTTCTGATGCTGTGGACACAATTGCTTATCTGCTCCTGCCTGAAATGCTCTATTCCCTTGGGGTTTGGGACACCATATTCTTCCCCCCCTCCTCATTCCTCTCGGACCACTCATTCTTAGTTACCTTTGGAGACTCTATCCATGCTCCTTCTCAGGCTGGTATGGCACAGAGGTCCAACCTTGCTCAACTTCTTTTCTTTGTCTAAAAGTTCTTCTCAGGAAATATCATGCATCGTTTAGGTTTAATAACCCTTTAAGCTACCAATTCCCAGATCTTTAACTTTAGTCAGGATTTTTCTGCTGAGCTTCAGACTGATATTTATAATTGCTATCTGGACATTTTCACTGGATGTTCCTTAAGTAACTCAAATGTAATATGCCCAAAATTAAACTCATCATTTTCTACCAACTACCAGTCCATCCTGTCCTTCCTCTGTATCTTCATTTCAGTTGGTGGCACCACCTTTCACTCACTCTTCTTGTTACTAGTCATTTGTCTCTGAGAGTATCTTCATGGTTTCCTTACTCAACCTAATCCTGCTGACTTTTGGTCTTTATTAATTTCTCCCAGATATTTGGTTATAGATAACATCCCTTTTTGTTTGCTCATGTATCATGCTTCATGAAAATGTAAGCATACCTTTTCTCTCATGTCAAAGAATTTGAGGTGTGAGCAGGAGGCTGCGGCATGAACACAGCACACCACTGTGAACTCAAACCACTGGTATTATATTTTGGTACACCTGAATTTTGCGATATGATAAATTCACATTCACAAATGTTATAAAATAAAGGAATACTTTTTTGTGGTTAATATAGGACATATCAAAGTTTTAAAGTATTTTATAAAAGTTGCTAGTTAATATTGTTACAGAAATGGAGGTCCTAAGATTTAGAGGCAGCTAGTTTCTAGGTAAGTACTACAAAAAATGCTTATGAAGTTCATATGTGTAGTCGGAGGGAGGCCATACAGGGATGGCGGTCAAGGTTACATTTAATTCACGCTGTGTATTATCTTGAAAAAGTTAGGAAACTGCACATCAGTGATGTCATGCCTTCTGGGCAACCAAGCTGATGTTTTGCTCAATAAGTTAGAATGCAATTTCATTTTAAAATTAAAAATACACATATATTTACGCACACTCCCACACCCCTTCTCTACACACATGTGTGTACACACACATAAACACATGCACCCCTACACACCCCTCCTCCCTGCCAATATATATTTGGAAGAATGTCTACAAGGATCCCAAAAGGTATTTTGATTTATGAATCTGCTGCAATATCATAACCAGCCAGCCACCAGAACTGGCACTAGATTGTAATCTTGTACTTAGTTGTGCTACCACTCCTTCATAATAAAATAGTAAATTGAAGTGATTTTCAAATAGCGTGGGAGACCAAAGGGAAATCTTTTCTGCCTCCAGTAAGCACAGAAGGCTCTTAATGAGCCATGGATGGCTCCCCTACTATGCCATGCATTTAGCCATTTCCTCCTTTCTGTGCTCACAGAAGCTGCGATTATCAAATTCTAAAGCAGTACTTTGAAAAATGACTTTGCCTTTGAGAATTTATGGACTATATATATTCGTATATTTTATTTCTGCTTGCTATGGGAGGTGAGTGTCTGCTATTGACATAAAGTTTATAAAGCACTTTGAGCTTCTAGGATAGAAGGAATATGATTACAAAGAAGGGTAAGAATATTAAACAAGGGTAAGATGGGAGTATTGACCCTATTATTATTATTATTATTATTATTATTTCATTTATATGGGTTTTTTTTTTCTTTTTAACCTTATGATTTTTAGTCTAGTAGAAACTTTATGTGCAGAGGGGACATAGACCATGTGGGAAATGTCAGTAGGCTTATAAGAAAAAGTAGTAAGCGGTTTAATAAAGATAATTCATAGTATGTAAGAACATGGCTTTTTGAGTCATAAAGACTTCAGTTTGAATACTTGCTCTGCCACTTATAATGTGTCACAGACTATTCTGTAATCTTTACAATAATCATCTAAATCCTTATAGCAATTGTATGAGATAAGTATTGTTAATATCCCCATTTTATTTTATTTATTTATTTTTTTCCTTCCACAGTATAAATATATCATCACTGCTAACACTGAGAGCAGCTGGATGAAGAGGGCACAGAATCAGGAAAAATAAATGAAAATGAGATCAAGAGAGAAAGGTGAGATGCAGATGGAACTTGTCCAAACAACATGCTACAAAAAGTGAAGTGAAGGAAGAATCCTTTATTTTCACATGAAAATAAAGAAGGAAAATAACATAACACATTTCAAATGGCAAAAGTCCAGTCATTTTGTAAACAAGAAAAATGGTTGTTTCTGTAGTTAGACATGTATTAAAGATACAGTGACATGTGAATATGTGACCTCTGCTAGAGATGAAAAATATTTACTCTAATAATTATGTTTTGTATTCCCTTTTTTTTTTCACTATCAGTGAATGTTTTTGTAGCACATGCTGGGATTTTAAATTTTAAACATATTATAAATATACTTTGAAATATAACTTCCTGATGCTTTCTCTGCTTTGTTATTTTGTACCACTATATAAAACAAATGATATTTTGTATATGCTATAGTTTTAAGGAAAAGTCAACTTTTAAAAGAATGCTTCTAAAATTTTTGTTCTAAAACAAATTTCTGCTGAAGGAGTTTATTATTTTTCCTTTTGTTTCTGACTATTCAGCCAAATGAACTTAAGAGAGATGAAGTTGATAGAACCAGTTTTATGAAATAAATTTGAGTCATTGTTGGTAAATATACATCAATTTAAGGGGTTCAGCATTATAGACGATGCATAAATATCATAGTAAATAGTTAAATGTGGTAAAGCAAAATGAATGGCTGTGTGAGACAATCGAGTCTCATTTAACCTCTTTCTTCATGATAACATCATTTGGAATATATATACATATTAGTTAAATGTGGTAAAGCAAAATGAATGGCTGTGTGAGACAATCGAGTCTCATTTAACCTCTTCATGATAACATCATTTGGAATATATATACACATTTATATGGCAAGTGAATTTATAGAAGAAATCAATTATATTATTAAGTGTACATCCTCCCCCTTAATAACCCTCTAATGTATCACAGTATCAGAGAAATGCGCCCTAGAGAAAAAGCTGCTGTTCTTCACAGAAAATCCATGAATAACATTATGCAAAAATTAATTTATAATAAATGATTTAAATCTAGAACTCAGAATAGCTTATTTAAATTTAGCAGAAAAGAACACCTCACCCGCAAAAAGGAGTCTAGGGAGCCATTCTCCATATATTCCACCACAATCATTACTGGTCTGCCTGCAAAAGAGCAAGAGAACACACAAGGATTAGAGCAATTACAGAAATATGTACTGCAGTTAGAGATATCCAGCTGTGGCAGCTAGATTATTTTTATTTTATTAATAGGAAGTTCATTTTCCAACCTACTTCTACAACAGTACTCATACACAGGCATCTCTCTATTTCTTTATAGCATTATTTTCTTTTGAGTTCATAAAAAGGACATGAATTACAATATGAATTACAGAGGAATTAAGATTTCTTTTCCTAAAGCCCGGCAATCACTAGTTTAGATTATGTTCTTTTTGTCCTCTAGCTTTTCCTTAAAAGACAATCAGCAAGCTAAAGTTAGGGTTTAAGCAGTTACTATTGCTGCTTTTGCAGTTGTGGTACAACTTCTATGGCGGTGTGGCAAGTCTGGCTCACTTAGATTAGAGTGGGCATTTCTGAAATATTCCTAAGGCAAAATAGAGAGGGGAAATTCATAAAATTCTCTTTAGGAAATTATAAACCATCTGTCACAGTCTGCTTTTCAAGGCATTTAAGCAGAAAAATTTTGGTAGATTGATGAATCTTCAAAGCTGGTAGGATTTGTATTAGTTCTTGATCATCTCTTTATTGGACATAGATTTAATCAACACAGCAATGCTGGCAGTACATACAAAATAAGTAACCTTTGATTTTGTAGTCTAGTGCAGAAGCTAAGATCAGCAACTGAACATCGTTTATTTCTCTTTTTTTTTTATCATATCATTGTTACAGTTCCCAATACACCTCTATTAGGTAGAATATTTGACATAAGTAACTTTGATTTGTTTCAAAGAATAGAATGCATTTCTTCTGCCCAGTTGCCCAAGTTTAAATGATAAACTCATTTCAGATGAAGGGAAAGTGATATTTACCTGAAATAAGCATGTGTGGCATATTTACTTTTTACTTCTATGATTCTTGCTTCTCACTGAAATTTTCTGCAATTCAATCTGCACTAGGCACAGGTTTTCCTTATCAACGCAAAGAAGATTTGGAAAGAAATCATGTGTACCAATGACAGAAATATTAGATCTCATTGTAATTCATGTCCCTTTTATGAACTCAAAGCTTTGGGGGTGAGAAAGGGTGACCATCACAAATTAGTACAACATATGCAAATGCTAGATTTTACATTTGAATCTGTATTTTAAGGAAAGATGTGCAAAAGGTTAAATGTGGTAATAAAGCTCCAAATCTATCATGCATAGAATTAGAACCCAAAGAAATTTCTACTTGCAGTGAATATTAACTTATATTTTATAATGTTCCTCAAAGTCATTAATTTTACCCAAATATGAATAAAGAACTTTATCAGCAATTATTGAGGTCAAATGAACTTTCAGCATTCTTGTGGGTAGGGATCTAGAAGATTCATGTTTTAAACCTGAAAGTTCATCATGAAATCTTTTATTTGGCCAATGGTTTCAGAGAGCTTGGAGACAGGAGACTGATACAAACACTTAGGTAGCAAGGTGGGGAAAATAAAAGGTCATTTTTTTACTTAAATATTACAATTTTGAGAATAATATTCTAGTTTGAGTGATAATGGGCTATGGAAGTTAAGGGGAAAAGTTGGGTTATTACAATGATTACTGCCTAAGTTCTTCCTCTGCTCATAGTCTCACGCCTTTTTAATCTGTCTTGAACATTGCTGCTAGAGGAACACCTTTATTTTATTTTATTTTTTAACATTTATTCTCCCCTCAAGAATGCCAGTCTTATTAGAATAAAAAGAGCTTGCAAGCACTTCACCTATTTTGCTATATAATGTTATTATTCTTATTACACAGATAAAGAAATCAAGGGACTAAAAGTAAAACCACTTGTCCAAAGTCAAATAAGTAGTAAGTAGTAGTATCTGATAGTCTGTCTCAGAGCTTTAGAAGTTAACCTTTATGCTATAGGTACGTCTCAGACAAGATTTATAGATAAAAACTCTAAGTCCAATCTTGCTAGACAATTCTCTCCTGTGATGAACCTCATTTTTCCTAACTAGCTTTAGCATCCACTGGTCAACCAGTTGTTATTGTTGTTTATACTTGTTCAATTCTACCTTCTTCTGCCTTTATTTTTGGTATTTACCTGCCAGTCTAGACAATTCTCTCCTGTGATGAACCTCATTTTTCCTAACTAGCTTTAGCATCCACTGGTCTACCAGTTGTTATTGTTGTTTATACTTGTTCAATTCTACCTTCTTCTGCCTTTATTTTTGGTATTTACCTGCCAGCATTATCCCCCAATTTGCCTCTCTCTCTAATCCCACCACACATGTGTCCCCCCCAAATTTATACACTGCAACTCTTCCTTGAAAGTCTCCCCCAGTGGTATTTCCTACAGTTGCATTCCCATCACTTCTATTGTGTGCACTATGAAATGTTGTGCTTGGTTTTATATTAAGTTGTTTTTCTTTCTTATCTTCCCATAGCTCCTTTGAATTCCCATGCACTGAGTTTCTCAAGGTCACTTCCCATATAGCTAAGCATAGTAGGGTCTTCATGAAAACAAGTTAATTTTCCTTATTGATTTCACGATTCCTAAGAGTAACGCTGAAGTATCTTGGCAAGATTCTAATGTATAATGAACACAAAGTACTTTGAAATTAGTTCTATCTATAACTCTTTGGGAGATAATTTAGGTAGTCTTAAAATTCATCAGTGACAAGTTTCATTTTCTCATTAAAAATAATAAAGAACCAAATGAAGACTCCCCCAGTTTCTTGTAAATTCGAAGCTTCACATTTGAGCTCTTCATCTTTTGTATTTTGGGCAAGTAGCGTCAACTGAGAACAGCTGTTAATTGAACTAGGTAGTGCTTTTTTAGACTACTGCTGGTATCTAACCTGTAATTTGTTTCCTAGTGGTTTTTTATAGAGAAGTTAGTTATCCTTTGATGATTACAAGCAACTTTCCAGTCGGTTATTACATTCTATAATCAAGAAAATAGATAAATATAAGGGAAATTATGAAAATTAGGATGGTATTCTTTAAATCTGTTTCAGGTGAGAGAAGCCTAATAACAATGCTTTGTCTGTCTTATTTTTCAATATGTAAAATTATATATTGTATTATTGGTCTTGGAAAATATACTTAGAAGTAATTTATCGTCTCTTTCTGAATTTTTGAAATAGTTCAGCTTATTTACTTTTGTATAATTTTAGTCAATTACCTCAAGTGCCTCATGTCAAAGAGCCACCTTATATTTGCATTGTAGAAAGTCAAAGGACAACTCCAGGATTCTTGAATGTTAGTCAGTTCTCAAAATCCCCAAATCTTATTTAGAAGCTTCATCTGCGTGACTTAAGAGATCTTCAAAGATACTCGTACAAGTCACACAAAGTGAATTTCTTAGGTTTTCCTTCATAAATAGCCCAGAAATGGTTATGAATATTTTAAACTGCATTAGAATCAAGATCCTCTAAGAAATGACTTATTTACATTATGGAGACAACTGAATTGCAAAATCTCTTATCATCCTTTTCTGTTATAGACAAGAACAATTATTTTCTTTCATTGAGACTTTCAGGGACTATTGACAAATATATATTTTTCAAATACTCCCCAATACATATGATAATTTTTATAAAGGGGGTGAGGAGAAACCATATGATAAGAAGACTATGCTTTTCTCATGCTGTTGTTAAGGAAAATAGAAGAAAAACATTCTTTAAATGTTTATAGAAATCTTGGAGAAAATATTTTGCCAGCAAAATGGTTTATTTATTTGTTTGTTTTTGCCTGAGAGAAGATTTGTGAAAGAAGGGGATTACAGAGATTTGACTTTTTCATATAAGTAATGAGTTTGTGCTGGATGTAGTACTTTGTATCAGCTTGGCAATTTCTAATGTGCAGTCAGTAAAATCAAGAATCAAAACAAATCTCAACAACCTCAAAACTCTATTACAGATTGAAATCATTCTAGTTTATTTAACATTCTATCGCATCTATATTTTGTCTACCAGGTAATAAAATTTGTGGTGATAACTTGGATTGACAGTGAGAATGCCTGTATTTTTCCCCCAGTTGCAATTCAGGACTTTTTGAGCCAGTTATTTAATCTATTTCTACTTCCCCTGTTTCTGTTGTAGAGATAGTGAATTACAATTATAATCTCAAATGGATTTAATAACAAATGAAGTAATATTCTTATTCCTCTAAGGCATTCAACAGATATGGATGAAATAAATTGAACTGTTATAATATATTAAGTCATTGCTTTTATTCATATGATAAATACTAAAATTGGAAAATTGTTTTTCCCTTACGGTGTTGCCTGGTGATTATCACATCATGTCTTAAACAAATCTCATCCTCAGTGAGTTTGAATCCAAACTTTTAACATTTCCCCTGAATGTTCTTTTCCTCCTATAATCCTGTCTTAGTTAAAACATCACCATCCATCTCATCACCCAGGTTTGAAAGCTTATTGTAATGTTGGACTTCTCACTTTATCAAGCCCCTATCAGTCCATAGGTTATTATGTTCTGTTGATTCTATACAAAATGTGTTGTCACTTCCCATATTATGACTTTGTTTCCTCTTGCTTGACCTATTACAATAATTGTTTCTGGTTTTCTTGGTCCTATTTTTGTCTTCTATTGCAAGCTAACACTTGCATAACTATTATTTTTGAATGTTTAATGTGATACATTAAATAATTTTTTAAAATAGCTAATATGTATCAGGTACTCTATTGGATTCTGGAGATGCATCCTCAATCAACACAAGATCCCTGCTCTCATGGGGTGTGTAGTACAAAGGGCAACATCATGAGTAAACAATCAATCACTATAAAGGACTAATGCCTCATTCCCCCGCTTAGACTGTTACTTTTTGCATTGTTTGCTTCACGATTAAAGCCTGAACTACTTGGTAATTAAGGTCCTCACAATCTCTCCTTTACTTTAATTTCTAGTGTCATCTTTTACTTTGCTCTATTCCCATACCTCCCATCCTTCAAATTTTTTAGTTAACTGCTCATTCCCTGAGTAT